AATTTAAACTGGAACTGCAAAATATCCAGCTATAGATTATCTAAATTATCTAATTAATTTTCTACATTCTCAAGCTCTCCTTCTCACTTAAATAAATATTATACTCCCCCAGTTGCCCTGACCACATCCCCCAACATCTTTTTTTTTTTTTTTTTTTTTTTTTTTTGATTTTCGAGACAGGGTTTCTCCATAGCTTTTGGTTCCTGTCCAGGAACTAGCTCTTGTAGACCAGGCTGGCTTCGACCTCACAGATCCGCCTGTCTCTGCCTCCCGAGTGCTGGGATTAAAGGCATGCGCCACCACCGCCCAGCCAGAGATATATTTTAGACAGACAGGTTATCTTCACAAACTTCATAAATCTACAGAATATGGCATTTAAGTTGTTTTCATAACATAAGCTTTGTTCTTTTTTATAACAGTAAGATATATCTGCTCCTGGCCACACCAATCTACTTCAAAGAAGATAACGGACACTGAAGAAGCTCCACAAGGAGTTGACTTTTTTGTGACAAAAGTTAGCCACTGGGCAAGAAAGTGCTCTTGCCTCAACTGCTAGCAATATGCTGTCCAGATTGGAAAAGCAAGACACACAAAGAAAGGACTGCTGAACCTTTCCAAGACGAGGTAGGATAGCCCTTTAGAATATCCTACTCCACAGAAAAGTCTGTCACTTACACTAGTCAGGATAGGCTGAAGGTGGATGCCCCAATGTTGCAGAGGAACATTGATTTTTTTGGGGGGGGGGATTGCCTATCCAGGCAGCCAGCTGTTTCTGTCATTTCTCACATCTTTTGGATGTTGCTTCCTTGCACTTCCTGCTTGCTTGGGTATTAGTATCCCCTTCTCAGGTCTCTCAAGGAATTGAAGGCTTTATAGTTATAGTTTTCCTTGTTACCAGGGTCAGCGAAGAAATTCTCTAAAAGGTATAAAGTGTATAAGGTTGAGAGACATTAAAACATAGTCTTGGTAATGCAAGTTAGAAAAGAAAGTCAATTAGGTACAACCTTTTGGACTCATCAAGATAGGATAAATATAGAGTATTTTCTCTGAATTTGTCAGTTAATGGACTAGACATCATTAATGTATTTATTGCCTGTATATATTATATATAGTTATTGTACTTATTGTATATAGTTTTTCTTACATGATAACCCACTTTTATATTTTAGACCAAAAAAAAGGGAAATCTGATGATATTTCTTTGTACTCTAACAAATAAAGCTTGCGTGAAGGTCTGAAGTCGGAACTAGTCACTAGTTAACCATAGAGATCTGGAGGTCTGTACAGACAGACAGGAAGTGATATGGCTGGGCGAAGAGAATATAAGGTGGGAAGAGAGAGAACATCAGCCCTTATCAGCTGAAGAGTTGGCAAGATAAGAGTTGGTTGTGGCTTGCTTTTTTCTCTCTCGGATATTTCAGCAGTTGCTCCAATATATGAGTTCAGGCTTTTATTATTCGGACCAATTAGAACTCGTGCAACACTCAACTTGAAGGGTTCCCTTCCTTAGTTGGTTTTTTTTTGGGAATTTGAGGGATTTCATAAGAAGCCATCGCATTAGTGCAGTTCTTTAGCGGGGCACAGTATCTCCCCACAGTGATGGGGAAAGGGAGGGGAGAAAGACAGACACTTCCCGCATGCTTCTCACTCGGTTTCATGTTTCATGTAGTCAGCTCTCAGAGATGCTAGCTGAGAATGAAGCTGTTAGCACATGACAATTGGATACATCATATTCCAAATACAATATACATTCATAGTGTCTACACATAAAATAATACAAATGTGAACTATGGATATAATTTTCATCTGTCAGTTAAAATTAATTTAAAAACCAAACTAACATTCTTTCACAGAGTGTTCATGTGTGTTGGCTTGAAAGAAAGTGGCCCCCACAGGGAGTGGCGCCACTGTTAGGCGTTCATTTCACACGGGGATCCTACCCTCCTGTACCAGCTCTTTTCTACCTGTAGCAAATCCGTCTTTCCTTTCATTCAGTACCGGCAACTGGGTATGTAATGTGGGCATCAGAGAGCGAGAAGCAGCCCTCTCACCCAGCACACGTCAATTTTTCCTTTCTTCTTATTTTACTTAACTTCTGTTTAATATATGGCTGTGTGTATACATATGGCTTTTGATTTAACCCTCTATGTGTGAATATAATCTACCTTTAATTCTGTATATATGTATGTGTGTGTGTGTAACTTAAATTCAACTGTGAATATATATTCATATAATTACTGTGTTGAAATGTTTTAACTGGTTCTAATGAGCTCTGTTCATTGTATCTCCTTTGGGATTAAAAAAGAAACAAGTCTCAGATATTATAAATTGGTATGTACTTTTAAACAATTGTGATAAATATTTAAGGTTATAAAGATCTATTTCAGATTACAAGAGCTAACTTACCAAGACCTCTCAGCTTGGATCCAACTCTTCAGGAAGATAATATACTGTAGTCATAACTCAGATATACCCAATATACAGAAGTGTTCAAAAGCTCAGAAATCTGGAAAATATGGCATTTAAAATGCCTAATTATTTTTTTTTTTTAGAAAAAGGCTATTTGTAATAGTGAGATGGGTTAGCTCGTGGCACCACCCCCTTCCTCCAAATAAGACAGAAGGGAACAAAAGAACCTCCACCCAGAACTTGCTCCATAGGTGGCAGTGCTAGTCACTGAGTAAAAACTTCCCTTCACGTCAACCACTGGAAAGAACCTCTTCGGACAGAGGACACTGGGGGATCGACTGCCTCAGGTTGCCGAGGGCAAGGCAGGCTGGTCTTCCTACCAACTTCTAATCCATAGGATCGACTGAAGTCTGGCAGGTCTAGACCTCTTCCACTCAAAGACAAATGCTGCCCAGAAACCTCTGCCCTCAACAGGTAGAGGACCCTGGGTATTGGCTGTCTAGGTAGCCAATCAGGTAAGTCTCTGTCGTTTGTAAGCCTTAACGCAGGTAAATCTTCTTCTCAGGATCTCTGGAGCAGTTTGATGACTGGTGGGTGTGCCAGCTTAGAAGCAGGAACCAAGGCTCCAACTGCCTTGGCAGTTCTCTGGGGGAAGTTCAGGTAAACACACCCCACTCTCCTAGAGTCAGTACTAAGCCTGGACACAATTTACCTCATTACCAGACTCAGAACAGAGATAAACTCATGAAACAGATTTCTCCTGAGTGTTAAGGTGATGGTGTAATGATGGGGAAGGAACAGGTGCCTTAAGGGTCACTCAGGTAAAGATAAAAAACACAAGATGCGAGGATCCAAGAATGTTTTAGGGTCTAAAGGAGGTGTTTTATGGTGTGTAAATACGAGGTGTAAAGGACTAAAAAAAGCTTAAATTCTCATAGTTTTAGCATTAATTAATAAAATTCTGATAAGCTATTAATCTAGCTCTGGCAGAATATTGCCATTATATGAAAAAAGCCAATCAAGGGGCTGGAGAGATGGCTCAGAGGTTAAGAGCATTGCCTGCTCTTCCAAAGGTCCTGAGTTCAATTCCCAGCAACCATGTGGTGGCTCACAACCATTTGTAATGGGGTCTGGTGCCCTCTTCTGGCCTGCAGCCATGCATGCAGACAGAATATTGTATACATAATAAATAAATAGGAAGTAATTTCCAAAAGAAAAAAGCCAATCAAATATCCACTTGAAAAGTCTCATTAGGCCGGGTGATGGTGGCGCACGCCTTTAATCCCAGCACTCGGGAGGCAGAGGCAGGCGGATCTCTGTGAGTTCGAGACCAGCCTGGTCTACAGAGCTAGTTCCAAGACAGGCTCCAAAGCCACAGAGAAACCCTGTCTCGAAAAACCAAAAAAAAAAAAGTCTCATTAACATAAATAATATGAATGTTATGCTGCTATGCTCATATGAAATATACCGGTCGAAATATGTATAAATATTAATAGGCTTCACAATATCTGATGTGGTTATTTCTGGAAAACAAAAAACACCATAAAAAGAAATATACAAACAGTAAAATATTATTGCATATGGTAAATATGTTCACACTCACTAAAATTTTGTCCAACTTGGATTTAACAGCCTATAAATTATAAGGCCATGAAATATATTTCATAGTACATGTCAATTGTATTTTATTATATTCAAAATACAAATAATACTTCAAAATGGATTAAAATAGTTTATGTATTTCACATGAAAGGAAGAATGACTTTTTATGCATTATTAACTACAGGTGCAAAGACATGACATTTCAGCACAACAATATCATACATATATATAATGCTTTATGAATCAGTGAGGTACATATTTCAAAATTGAAAAGAACAAAATTACTATTTTTTAAAAAATATTTATTTATTTATTTATTTATTTATTTATTATGTATACAATATTATGTCTGTGTGTATGCCTATAGGCCAGAAGAGGGCACCAGATCTCATTACAGATGGTTGTGAGCCACCATGTGGTTGCTGGGAATTGAATTCAGGACCTTTGGAAGAGCAATGCTCTTAACCTCTGAGCCATCTCTCCAGCCCCCCAAAATTACTATTCTTTATGGCACTGGAAAAATTAACAGAAAACCATAGCATTTATATAAAACAGACATGAGGATAAGTTTGATAGAGTGCTCAGAAATACTTATTTGCATTTATTGCCAATAGACACTCAAAAAAACTTTCAAATATGTATGGGTTTAATAAAACACTGATTGGCCAGCAGCCAGGCAGGAAGTATAGGCAGGGTGATCAGAACAGGAGAATTCTAGGAAAAGGAAAATCTCAGTCTGCAGTCATCTCGAGATGCAGAGGACACAAGGTGAGAAAGCCTCACTGAGAAAAGATGCCAAGCCACGTGGCTAACACAGACAAGAATTACGGGTTAATGTAAGATGTAAGAGTTAACTAATAAGAAGGCTGAGCTAACAGACCAACCAGTTTATAGTAAATGTAGTTTTCTGTGTTTCTTTGGGACTGAATGACTATGGGACCAAGGGGACAGTCTGTCAACACAGAGATTTCAGTTTATAAAAAAAAAAAAAAAAAAGCTGATTAGATTTTACATTAAATGGTAATGGATACCCCAATTTCTGGAGCCCCTACATTCTATACTGATGTAAATAAATCAGGAAAGGTAGGTTATAAGTCAGAAAAAAAATTAGTGTCTTAAAGTCCTTATGATTCTGTTCAGAAATCAGAACTATATCCTATTCTCATGGTATCTTAGAGTTTCCAGAACCTCTTAACTTATTTTCTGACTTTCAATAGGCAGAAAGAGATGTCTTACGTATTGAAACTGCTGAATTTATTTCTGGTAAGTCAGAATTAATTTCACTTTTATACAATAACAGGAAATAGCCAGGAATAAGAATCATCCTGTATTTATATATAACACTATCAGATCCCATACAGGTCTGTATTTATATATAACACTATCAGATCCCATACAGGTCTGTATTTATATATAACACTATCAGATCCCATACAGGTCTGTATTTATATATAACACTATCAGATCCCATACAGGTCTGTATTTATATATAACACTATCAGATCCATACAGGTCTGTATTTATATATAACACTATCAGATCCATACAGGTGTGTCAGGCTCTCTAGCACAAGCTGGTGGTGAAATTAATCAGCTATTAAAAGGAAATGTGCTGGAACCCTCAGGGTTTCATTTTTTTAAAAAAGCACCATGTCAATAGCAAAGGTTTAAAAAGGGATTTTTCATCACTTAGCAACAAGCCAAGGAAACTGTAAAAAAATGTCCAATGTGCTCTTTGTATAACCAAACTCCACTACCTGCCGGGAAGTAGCCCAAAGGAAACTCAAAGAAATAAAATTTGGCAAATGGATGTGTTTCGTTTTGCAAAATTTGGAAAGTTATAATTTGTAAAGCATACAATATATATTCAGGATTTCAATAGGCACCTGGTTGGGTTCTGAAAAGGCTGATCCTGTAATCACATGTCTATTAGAAGTTATGGTCACTAAGTGGACGCCTGTACAGATTATGACTGACAACATTCTAGCATATATGTCTAGTAAAACGAAACAGTTTTCGCATATTATAATGTATAGCATATTACACAGAAGTTCTGCTCCGGGATGTTGCCGAACTTGCTGTTTCTACTGCTGCTGTTGCTGTTCCTGCTGCTGCTGCTGCCTGGCTGCACCTTTTGTAGTATTGTTCTCAAATACTAAAAATGCCTATAGAATATGCCATTTAAAATATTTTTTTACTTAAAGTTTTTATGACAATGAGACATATCTGCTCCTGGAAGCACCAGTTTACTTCAGAGAAGATTATGAGCATTGGAGAAACTCCTTATGGAATTTGCTTTCATTGTGGCAAGATTAGCCACTGGGCAAAGAAACTGTTCTTGCCTTTGACCGCTGACAATGTGCTGTGCAGACTGGACATGCAAGACACACAGGAAAAAGACTGCTGAACTTTGCCAAAACAGGATAAGAAGTCCTTCAAAATTCCTGCTTCACAGAAGAGTCTGTCAGATATTCTGCAGGTCACAGAGGAAAGCAACTGACGAAATTTGCCAATACAAGCTAGGATAGTGCTCAAATTTCTAGGCCTGTAGACGGAAGATGGATGTCCCAATGTTGCAGAAGGAACTTTGGGCGACTGTCCAAGCAGTGCAATGCTAAGATGTGCTAATGATGCAAGGATATGTTACAGCTGCTTGGTTAAATAAATTTAACCTGCAGTCAGGAGGATGAGTCAGCAATTAGCTGACGGGAAGCAGTAGGGAGGAGCCAACTGTAAAAAGGTTTTAAGTGGGGGCAGGGAAAAGGACACCTAGCTTTGTGGGAGACACGCAAAAGGTCAGAGGTGAGCTACCTGCGAGTCAGCCTCTCTGAGAAGCAGAATTCCACTTCGACCTTTGAAGCTTGAGTTCTTTCGAGGGACAGAGATTTAGGTAAGTTCCCTTGGTAGCTTTGAAAGAGTCTATCTGAGGGAGCAGAATACCCTCAGACTGTGGCCATTGCGGCTGACCTGGCTGACCTGCTGCTGGTAGCTTTGCAGTTGCCGTTGCTGAATAGGACAGCAATTGCTTAAAAGGCGGCAAGAGTTTAAAAGAAAGACAACAAAATTCAGTAAGCAGGGATAGATTCATGTTCCAAAGCATAGCTCATATCTTTTTTTGTTTAACTTTTTCTCTTACTTATCTGGGGACATAAGGTTAGTCACCATTGATGAAGCGTGACGAAACAGAATCAGCTTTTACAATCATTTCCCCTCAAGTTTAGGCTTTTT